GATCCGCCCACCTGGGCCTCCCAAAGCGCTGGGATTACAGGTCTGAGCCCCTTCACCTGGCCCCTGTTTTCATTTTGTTTTAATTTAAAAAGTAAAAAAATTTTAATTTTTTGGAGATTAAAATTTAAAATTTTTTAATTTTTAATTTTTTGCAGCCCAGGCTGCAGTGCAGGGGTGCGATCATGGCCCACTGCAGCCTCAACTTCCTGGGCTCAAGTGATCCTCCTATCTCAGCCTCCCCAGTAGCTGGGACTACAGGTCTATGCCATCCATCACGCCTCGTTAATTTTTAAATATTTTTTGGAGAGATGGAGTCTTGCTATTTTGCCCAGGCATACATACCATACCTAGTGGGTGTGGATATCTTTGGGGGCCATTATTCTGCTGGCCGTCCCTGAGGAATTAGCTTGGAAAGGCACGAAAGGGCTTCATTTTGTAGGATCTTGAAACTTTTCTGAAGGTGAGCTTGTAGGCAATTTTCTTGTGGGCTGGGCGCAGTGGCTGACACCTGTAATACCAGCACTTTGGGAGGCCAAGGCAGGTGGATCGCTTGAGGCCAGGAGATGGAGACCAGCCTGGCCAACATGGTGAAACCTCGTCTCTACTAAAAATACAAAAATTAGCCAGGCGTGGTGGTGGGCCCCTGTAATCCCAGCTACTCGGGAGGCTGAGGCAGGAGAATCGCTTGAACCTGGGAAGTGGGCCAAGATTGCTTTTGCTTTACTGCACTCCAGCCTTAGTGATGGAGCAAAGCTCCATGTTGAGAAAAAAAAATGTGTGTGTGTGTGTGTGTGTGTAAAATGTGTGTGTGTGTGTGTGTGTAGTCTGCAGTCTTGCATCTTTCTTTCTTTTTTTTTTTTTTTTTTGAGAAGGAGTTTTGCTCTTGTTACCCAGGCTGGAGTGCAATGGCGTGATCTCGGCTCACTGCAACCTCCGCCTCCTGGGTTCAGGCAACTCTCCTGCCTCAGCCTCCCGAGTAGCTGGGATTACAGGCATGCGCCACCATGCCCAGCTAATTTTTGTATTTTTAGTAGAGATGGAGTTTCACCATGTTGACCAGGATGGTCTCGATCTCTTGACCTCGTGATCCACCCGCCTCGGCCTCCCAAAGTGCTGGGATTACAGGCTTGAGCCACCGTGCCCGGCAACCCTCTTTTAGTCTTATATTTATTTTTATTTTTTGAGATGGAGTCTCACTCTGTCGCCTAGGCTGGAGTGCAGTGGCATGATCTCGGCTCACTGCAACCTCTGCCTCCCAGTTCAAGCATTCTCCTGCTTCAGCCTCCTGAGTAGCTGGGATTACAGGCTTGCACCACCCTGTCTGGCTAATTTTTTGTATTTTTAGTAGAGATGGTTTCTCCGTGTTTGTCAGGCTGGTCTCGAACTTCTGATCTCAGGTGATCTGCTCGCCTCGACCTGCCAAAGTTCTGGGATTACAGATGTGAGCCAGGGCGCCTGGCTACCCTCAGTTTGTAGACATGCACAGAGCAGGGGAAAAAAAGTGGAGCCCCTGATGCATTTGTTCCTAGCCAAAGTTGAACAAGACAGCGCTTTCTCTTCTTGTTTCAGCTTCCATACTGTAAGCAATCTCCTTTTTGGGGGATGGAGCTTTTTCCCATTTTTGTGCTTTTTCTTGGTGATTTTGCTGTTTAAAATAACTTTCGGCCAGGTGCGGCCTGGCACTTTGGGAGGCCAAGGCAAGTGGATCACCTGAGGTCAGGAGTTCGAGACCAGCCTGGCCAAAATGGTGAAACCCCCGTCTCTACTTTTAAAATAGAAAAATTAGCTGGGCGTGGTGGCACACACCTGCAATTGTAGCTACTCAGGAGGCTGAGGCAGGAGAATCGCTTGAACCTGGGAGGTGGAGGTTGCAGTGAGCCGAGACTGCACCACTGCACTCCAACCTGGGCAACAGAGCGAGACTCTGTCTCGAAAATAAATAAATACATAAAATAAAATGACTTCCAAGCATCGTGCTGAAGCACTGTCTAACATTCCTAAGTGCTAGAAAGCTTCACGGAGAAAATCTGTGTGTTAGAGAATTTGAGATATCAGCGAAAGTGCTGTGAGTTCAATGTGCATGAATCCACCGTGCCGATTCAATAAGGTATCTTTCAGCAGAAACACACATCAAGTGAGGGCGTGCGTTCCGCGTTTGTTTTTGTTTCGTTTGCTGCTTCCTTCCTTATCATGAAAAGAGCAGAGGATGCAGATAATAAAACCTGAAGCAGGAAGACAGAGGGGAAACGGGGAACGTGTCACCTACCTTTGGGTGCCCCTCCTGCCTCATGTTTCTAAATAAATAAATAAGTAAACAAAATAAGACTCAAGGAATTTTACTGAAAAGTATGTATTAGGTATTCTTTTT